GGGCATCACTCTTCTTTCAATACCGGGAAAAGTCTTCAACAGGGTATTGTTAAACAGGATGAAGGACTGCGTTGACGTCCAACTTCGAGATCAACAGGCAGGATTCCTTAAGGATATATCGTGTACACACCAAATCGCAACTCTAAGGATCATTATGGGACAATCAATTGAATGGAATACATAACTCTACATCAACTTCATTGACTACGAAAAAGCATTTGATAGCGTGGATAGAACAACACTATGAAAGTTTCTTCAACACTACGGCGTGCCTCAGAAGATAGTCAATATCATACAGAGTTCATATGATGGATTAAACTGCAAAATTGTGCATGGAGGACAGTTGACAAAGTCGTTCGAAGTAAAGACCGGTGTCAGGCAAGGTTGCTAATTCTCACCCTTTCTCTTTCTTCTGGTGATCGACTGGATCATGAAGACGTCAACATCTGAAGGGAAGCACGAGATACAATGAACATCTAGGATGCAGTTGAACGATCTAGACTTCGCAGAAGATCTGGCTCTCCTATCGCAGACGCAACAACAAATGCAGGAGAAGACCAGTGTAGCAGTAGCCTCAGCAGCAGTAGATCTCAATATACACAAAGGGAAATGCAAGGTTCTCCGATACAACACAGCATGCACCAATCCAATCACAATTGACGGAGAAGATTTGGAAGATGTAAAAACCTTTACATATTTGGGCAGCATCATTGATGAACACGGAGGATCTGATGCAGATGTGAAGGTGCGGATCGGCAAGGCAAGAACAGCATATTTACAACTGAGGAACATCTGGAACTCAAAGCAACTGTCAACCAACACCAAGGTCAGGAGTTTCAATACAGATGTCAAGACAGTTCTACTGTATGGGGCAGAAACCTGGAGAACCACGAAAGCCATCATCCAGAAGATAAAAATGTTCATTAACATTTGTCTACGCAAAATACTTCGGATCCATTGTCCAGACACTATTAGCAACAACGTATTATTGGGAAGAATAAACCAGGTACCAGCGGAGGAAGAAATCAGGAAGAAGCGCTGGAAGTAGATAGGACACACATTGGGGAAAGCACCCAACTGTGTCACAAGGCAACCCCTCACCTGGGACCCTCAAGTCGAAAGGAGAAGAGGAAGACGAAATAATACATTACACCGGGAAATGGAGACAGACATGAGTAAAATGAACATGAATTGGATGGAACTAGAAAAGAAGGCTCAGGACATAGTGGGTTGGAGAATGCTGGTCGGCGGCCTATGTTCCATCAGGAGTAACAGGCGTAAGTAAGTAAGTTGAGGTGTTTCCCCATTATCGTTATGTGTAATGTTGTATGCGCATACACGACGGCGGATTGTTATATATAGGAAAGATTAACAGATGTGTCCAGTCATTGTATATTTATTTATTATTCATGTACTGAATTTGTGAAAGTGTTTTCCACAGTTGGCCAACACTAACTTCCTTCAATTCATTCTAATATTCAAGTCAATTTTAGAAGTGATCATTAGTTACCTCATATTTCTTGTTTATTTACATAAGAATGTAAAACGGTGTTTTTATTTATTATGAAATTAGTTCATATCAAATACGACACATATTTTGTTGTTTCATACTTTGACATACGGTGATTTATTAGCACACCGTATTATTGAAATGTTTAATTAATTCTAGTTTAAACTCATTTACAGCAGAGAATGTGATTATATGACTACCCTGGTATAGGACTACAGATACACAGATGAAAAAAGAAAGGAATTTTCCAAAAAAAATTCTCACAACAAATCCTTCACAGTAATATATTCTAATGGATGATCCGATTGCTTAGAATGTTAAGGGTGAATTCATTTTTAAAATTACTGAATAGTTTTTATAAACGTTTGTATATTGTTAACTAAATTATAAACATTATATTAATGTATAATGTTAAAATTGTATATTGTTAGGGCAGAATTTAACAGTAAACAACTTCGTAAGAACTATTCGTCTTCAACTTGATACAGCAATTGACATAGCTCTTGTCAGCCTAAAAATTAAGAAGAATATTTAAAGAACTCTAGTTTACCCAGCATCTTAACTAGCACACAGAGATTCTGGTAGCAATTTGAACATCGATTGTGGAGGCATGTTGCATTGTTTGCAAAGGAAATACAATTACGAACAAAACATTATACCTTATAGACTATTCAGGACACGATTTATTGTGATTATATCTGGTGGAAACACCAAGATGATCAGACTATTTGATTAAAAATTTACATGCAGATCAGAACCGAGAACCCAATAAACAGGGACGAGGAGAACGCCTTATTACAAAGACATCACTATGTGTTTGCAGAACAGGGTGGAGACTGCACGAGGACAAAAGCATTACTGACCCTCAGATTTGAACTTCTCAGATGGTACTGTACCGATAGTGCTAGTGGTATATGCTCTAATCTGATGACCAGCAATCAAACAAAGTCATCAAATATGAAGTGATCACGACTCAACCGAAAACAGAGTAATTATAACTACTAATTCAGAATGCTGATGTTTTCATCAGTGGGTTTGTAATAGGCAGCCTATACAATTGATTTTAGTGTGACTCATACAATTTACTTATAAAAGCAGTGTTGAGAAACATTTTCAGGAAAATAAACAATTAGAAATTGCCAGAAAACACTTGTATCACCTTGATGTTGATATTCTCGATCTGCTTTGACCATCATTCTAAGCATTTGGTTCAGTGTGCATCAGTGACTCGATATGTACATCTTCACACATGTACTTGCCGTAATGTTGCATTGTGGTTGACATTGAAACTCAAAATCAAAGTTTGATCTTTATAGGAAGGTTTGGATTGAAATATGTGGACTCGAGTTTCGATAACAAGTTCTACACCCAAAGATAGACACATTCGCATCAAACTGTAGAGTATTTTACACTAACTTTATAGGTTCAGATTAATATGACCTTATTTCATGGTCCTTAAAGAACGTCAATAACATTTGTCTACTGGATAAGCTAATTAAATTTGTGTCTTGTTTGTACTGAAATCTGAAATATGTACAATATCAATATTCTGAAATGAAGATCCATCTGAACGTGAGAAGTTGCTTTAGTCAGAAAATGAAGTTCGTTATTTGATTTCATGAGTCACATATACTGATTCAATTTAAACAGAGATGAATAAATAATATGACAGTCGACCAAAATGCAAGCATATAATACGAATAATTGAGTTCACACATCATCATCATCATCCGCTTCTTTTACCTCTGTTGTATATCACAAATATCACATGTGTGGATAAACTTGTCGAATAACTTAAAACGTAAATACACTTAACACATTGAAATTGTGGTGGATCTTTCTAGTTGTCCGAATAAGCCTTATTATTAGCTCTTCTCGACACATGTGTACAATGTTTATCTGCAGTGGACGCCACCTTAAATACCACAACTGACAGTGGGAATATGTATGCAGTCATATGCAATAATAAAATTCTCGTTCATGTGTAACTGCAATGAGAAATTTCGAAAGTTGGAAAATCAACTGATATGTTGAGGCGTTTTAGGAAGACAGTCTTCGAAATTTTATCGATAATGACTGCTTCAAAACAGAGTTTGAGAAACAGATCGGATTTAACTGATTTAACGGCAGAACGCGTTTTTAATTATCCAGTCCTCACTGACCTACTGATAATAATGTGACTGATTTAGTTTCTTCAGCAGGAATTTCAGTCTGTCCATCTGAGTAAGCTGGAAGTTCGTAGTAGTTGTCAGAAGATAGTCTAACTACGTTTATTGCTTATCTACACTGATCATCAATGTGTGTCTGTAATTTCAATTACTTTGGCGACCTGCTTGAATGTCTGTGCTACCTGTTCCTGTCATCTAGATATTTCAACAAGGTATCTGTTTTCTTGTTTGTTTTAATAAACCATTATGTTAATTGTCTGTATAACTTATTGAGGTGCGTAATTATCAGTATCATGAGCGCTAAGGTTTTCTTAGTGAAGATCGAAACCTACTGAACTGTAACACTATGTTGATGAGTGTCAAATAGCATGAAATCTAAGTTCGTGATTTCCTGTAGACTAGCTCCAACAAAAACGTAAATACTCAACATATTGTGATTGGCGTTTATTTCAGTAATCATGTTAACATGTTGTAAATGCTGAGGAAACTTTTTATTTTGGAATAAACGATATCTTAACCGAACTTATTTTCACATCTCAGTACAGATATTCTATTTGTAGGAACCTTTATTGTCGTTCTTCACAGAACATTACTTTATCAACATAATTGTCTAATAGAGAAACATTAGTTTTACAATTATTATTTCGCACCTAATTTATTTACACTGACGTATCAGTGTAAGCCGACATTCATCAGTGATGAAGTAAGGAGTATTATGCGTTGTGTATGAACAAGGTGGCTAAACAGGGATTTTGATTGCCCTAATTTTTGTCAGCACGATACCGTCACATAAAAATTCCCTTCTGGTAGGAAATAAAAGACTTTCATTGTTTTAGTTTCTTCATTTGTCGCTGGTTGAAATCACACTATGATAACAAATAACTCTCTCAAATTATTCAACATATTCATCGCATAAACTTATCGGATAAACATAATCCGTAACTGGTACTCAAGTATCGCTAATCAAGGTAAAGAAAATAAACGACTCACCTTCATTTCATTATTACTAGTAGAAATCGGAATTTAATGAAATGTGATGTCAAGACCTTTCTCAGTACGAATTTCATCCAAAAGACGTCCGTGGTGAAAATTATATTTGGCATGCAATTGTTATTCAACTATGACTTTTGATGTGTTAGAAGAAATATTTTCTGTAATCAATTAAAAGTTATCTTCATTTACACCTGGATGTATTCTTATTGGAACAGAGACACATACAAACACACTATATACACACACATTCAGAAGTATTCAACGAATCGCTTTCTGATTAAGTGAATTTTACATTCCATTTAACCAGAGTAAAAGGTATATATACACACACAGAATTTCAATGTTACAGAACGACACAGACCGAGTAAAATGAATGCGAATCTTTTACATTTGCTTTTAGCCATTGTGTTTACTGCCAGTATTACCGGTAAGTGTTGTTTGTTAATGTATGTAATTTCATGGTTAAATATTTTTGTTCAAATACAAGTAAGTGATTAACTATTGATGTAGTGTAGTGCTGGGTCTATTTCACCATTGATCACAATTCTTTGCTCTAAAGGGATATCTGTTATCTCATGCATATGAAGTTCTAAGTAATCTTTCAAATTTGTCATATTTTATCATGACTTGTTAGTAAACGATTCATTTGATTGTATGGCACATTATTCACTACCTACATTTTCTTTGCATGAATGATGACTTCCCATTATTTTTGAAGTCAATTTACAACTTGCATTGGATACTCTAATGCTTAAGACAGACTCATGAACATTTAACAAAATGGCACAACATCCACTCCTTTTATTGAAGACTTGTTTGTGTGAAGCTTCATCACAAATATGATTGTATATGTGACCCAAGTTTCATCGTCGATAAGGAATTTACTTTGAATGAACCACATTCAATTCCTCTATTGACTGACTTATTCTTAATTTTCAACATATGACGTTGAAAAAATGTGTTGGTTGAAGTAAACGTGTTTTGATTTGTGTGGTCCAGTTCAAATTTACTGTGCGATCTATACATATAAATCTGATTTATTACAATTGCACATACATTGTAACATCTAATGGTCGTTTATTTTCCCGTGGCGGAGAGATGCAATTTGTATGACTTTGCACATTATGTTGTGACTTTATCTCCGGCCTCTTATCACGACACTTATCCACCAATCATAATATGACTTATGCAATCTTAGCACTGTGCCAAACCAATGACGTTCGACTGGTATGGGCAGCCTAGCGTACTTATTGGTCATGTGTCGCCTAGCCCGTCCATTTGAGCCCAGAACACCAATACCAGCTTCCACTATGCGAATCATGTATTTCAAACATAATGTGATTATATATCAAACAAACAGACCGCAACGCACCATAGAATAGGAAGTAACACTTGTACACAATAAAGCCAGAAATGGTAGTGAACGTGGGAGGTAGTAGTTAATAAACTGAACATAATTAAAGGACAGTAAATTTTATAATAATAAGTTATAAGTCATAATGAAGCGTATAATGAAAGGAATATAAGGATATCAAATCCAAATATTGAATAGTCATACGATAAGAATATTGATAGAATATTAGTCCATTATTAGGTCTCAGACGTTACTCGTAATGTAATCTTCAATAGGAAATAACACATTCATAACACCGATTTCAGTTAATTTATGATTACGACGATCATTGTCACTGTTAACTTACGCTTTCAGAAGTGAGCCAAAGCACACTCACACATGACACGAAATAACCTGAAACATATGCATTTTCAATATTTGTACATGTCGGCGTGTGGTGATCTGAAAAGATATCGATTCATTTGTATTTTAGACAATCTTGCTCATCGTAACGGCCATTTCGACAGACGTAAGTTCAAGTTTGTGAGTTGTTTTGATATTCCGATCTATTGAATTTCTATTACTTGATAAGACTAACGTTAGTTAATTTCCACCATCGCGATTCCAGGCGAAAAGAAAAACAGGCATTTCTCCAGTAATGTACAGCTTAAAAATACTGACGAATGTTTACATTTGTTGATGAGAATATAAGTTCGACAAACTCATTTCCATTGAGGTAGACATTTGAATAACCAATGTAGATATGTAGTATGAAACGTCTACATTTGTACAAAGCATTTGAATGTTTGTTTCTCATTATGTAATTACATCAGTCAAACGAATGTATTCTTCACGTCCATCATCGCTATTAAACTTATTAATCAGAATAATGTTAAATGCGTTCTATCTCAACGATTGGTTTGTGATGAAATTCACCACAAAATATCAGTTTTTAACAATTGTGAGAATCAACGGCATTTACATTGTAACCACATTTGAACAAGCTTTTTTCTGTGAATGATTTAGCTGCTGATGAAAGTGACACAAACACAGGAATAAACGACCTCCGTAAGTATTATTCTATTCGATGAATGACATCATTGATAATTTTGCAAATGTGACAAGTTTTCTCACTGTAATTTCCAGTTCGCTACAACTATCTTCAATGTAGTGTCGACCAACTCTGATCAACCTGAGTAGGATTTTATGTTCTTTCTATTCATTCTGTATTGAAAGTTGAGCGAATGTAAGGCGTGTATGAAGATTTCATAATTACTCATTTCCTGATTTCTTCCAAATAATTCTAATAGAAACGAATATATGATAATAGGTAGATGTGATAATATCTGCTGAAGCATATTCGTACAAATTGAATAAACATAATTTGATGCTCATGTCATGAACAACGAAATTTTACTGTTGGAATATATTCTGAGTACAACTACATATCGAACGATATGATGTCTAAGTCCACTCAATCAACTGAAACGAAATTCTACAAGATATGCAGAAGTCTTCCGGCTGTGACTGATCTAGTACATTTTACCAATGATCTTTTCAGATGATGAATACGATGAAGCAAACAGAGAAAGTAACGAAATCAGTAAGCTGAATTCAGTGTGTTGGTTTGTGAAGATGAATAAATTCTGATTCTTGGAAATACTGATTTGTTGACGCAGAAAATGTTTAACAAACCATCTACGCTATTGTAATATAATCTGAGTCATGTCACTTAGAGTCTCAAAGCATTGGTTGCGATCATTTCGTGGACCTCAACACAGGAGTCTTCATCTACCAACACGGCTCAATCTGGAAGTTAGTCTCTTCAATGACTGATTCCATGTTTTGGTTAGGCCGCCACACATTTATGAAATATTATCATAATTTACTAGCTAACGGTTCATTTAGTTCTATTGCACATAAGTCTTCCTCTACATTTTATTTTCATAAATGATGACTTCCTATTACATTCGAAATCAATGTACAACTTATTTTTGATACTCCAATGCGTTAAACAGGCTTGTGAAAATCGTACAAAGTCGCATAATATACATCTGTTTTATTAAAGATTTGTCCACGTAAAACTTCATTACAAATATGGTTGTATACGTGGGCTCAATTATTATAGTCGACAACGAAGTTGCACTGAATGAAACACATTCAATTCGTCTATTGACAAGTTAATTCTTAGTTTTCAACATATGACGTTGAAAAACATTGTTGGATGAAGTAGACTTGTGTTGCTTCGTGTAATCTAGTTCAAATTTGCACTTTCTCGTTTGTATAAATAAATCTGATTTATTACAATTGCACATACAGTGTCACATCTAATGGTCGTTCTCTCTCGTGACGGAGAGAAACAATTTGTATTACTTTGCACATTTCTAATACCGTTTTCAGTTAATTTATGATTACGACGATCATTGTCACTGTTAACTTACGCTTTCAGAAGTGAGCCAAAGCACACTCACACATGACACGAAATAACCTGAAACATATGCATTTTCAATATTTGTACATGTCGGCGTGTGGTGATCTGAAAAGATATCGATTCATTTGTATTTTAGACAATCTTGCTCATCGTAACGGCCATTTCGACAGACGTAAGTTCAAGTTTGTGAGTTGTTTTGATATTCCGATCTATTGAATTTCTATTACTTGATAAGACTAACGTTAGTTAATTTCCACCATCGCGATTCCAGGCGAAAAGAAAAACAGGCATTTCTCCAGTAATGTACAGCTTAAAAATACTGACGAATGTTTACATTTGTTGATGAGAATATAAGTTCGACAAACTCATTTCCATTGAGGTAGACATTTGAATAACCAATGTAGATATGTAGTATGAAACGTCTACATTTGTACAAAGCATTTGAATGTTTGTTTCTCATTATGTAATTACATCAGTCAAACGAATGTATTCTTCACGTCCATCATCGCTATTAAACTTATTAATCAGAATAATGTTAAATGCGTTCTATCTCAACGATTGGTTTGTGATGAAATTCACCACAAAATATCAGTTTTTAACAATTGTGAGAATCAACGGCATTTACATTGTAACCACATTTGAACAAGCTTTTTTCTGTGAATGATTTAGCTGCTGATGAAAGTGACACAAACACAGGAATAAACGACCTCCGTAAGTATTATTCTATTCGATGAATGACATCATTGATAATTTTGCAAATGTGACAAGTTTTCTCACTGTAATTTCCAGTTCGCTACAACTATCTTCAATGTAGTGTCGACCAACTCTGATCAACCTGAGTAGGATTTTATGTTCTTTCTATTCATTCTGTATTGAAAGTTGAGCGAATGTAAGGCGTGTATGAAGATTTCATAATTACTCATTTCCTGATTTCTTCCAAATAATTCTAATAGAAACGAATATATGATAATAGGTAGATGTGATAATATCTGCTGAAGCATATTCGTACAAATTGAATAAACATAATTTGATGCTCATGTCATGAACAACGAAATTTTACTGTTGGAATATATTCTGAGTACAACTACATATCGAACGATATGATGTCTAAGTCCACTCAATCAACTGAAACGAAATTCTACAAGATATGCAGAAGTCTTCCGGCTGTGACTGATCTAGTACATTTTACCAATGATCTTTTCAGATGATGAATACGATGAAGCAAACAGAGAAAGTAACGAAATCAGTAAGCTGAATTCAGTGTGTTGGTTTGTGAAGATGAATAAATTCTGATTCTTGGAAATACTGATTTGTTGACGCAGAAAATGTTTAACAAACCATCTACGCTATTGTAATATAATCTGAGTCATGTCACTTAGAGTCTCAAAGCATTGGTTGCGATCATTTCGTGGACCTCAACACAGGAGTCTTCATCTACCAACACGGCTCAATCTGGAAGTTAGTCTCTTCAATGACTGATTCCATGTTTTGGTTAGGCCGCCACACATTTATGAAATATTATCATAATTTACTAGCTAACGGTTCATTTAGTTCTATTGCACATAAGTCTTCCTCTACATTTTATTTTCATAAATGATGACTTCCTATTACATTCGAAATCAATGTACAACTTATTTTTGATACTCCAATGCGTTAAACAGGCTTGTGAAAATCGTACAAAGTCGCATAATATACATCTGTTTTATTAAAGATTTGTCCACGTAAAACTTCATTACAAATATGGTTGTATACGTGGGCTCAATTATTATAGTCGACAACGAAGTTGCACTGAATGAAACACATTCAATTCGTCTATTGACAAGTTAATTCTTAGTTTTCAACATATGACGTTGAAAAACATTGTTGGATGAAGTAGACTTGTGTTGCTTCGTGTAATCTAGTTCAAATTTGCACTTTCTCGTTTGTATAAATAAATCTGATTTATTACAATTGCACATACAGTGTCACATCTAATGGTCGTTCTCTCTCGTGACGGAGAGAAACAATTTGTATTACTTTGCACATTTCTAATACCGTTTTCAGTTAATTTATGATTACGACGATCATTGTCACTGTTAACTTACGCTTTCAGAAGTGAGCCAAAGCACACTCACACATGACACGAAATAACCTGAAACATATGCATTTTCAATATTTGTACATGTCGGCGTGTGGTGATCTGAAAAGATATCGATTCATTTGTATTTTAGACAATCTTGCTCATCGTAACGGCCATTTCGACAGACGTAAGTTCAAGTTTGTGAGTTGTTTTGATATTCCGATCTATTGAATTTCTATTACTTGATAAGACTAACGTTAGTTAATTTCCACCATCGCGATTCCAGGCGAAAAGAAAAACAGGCATTTCTCCAGTAATGTACAGCTTAAAAATACTGACGAATGTTTACATTTGTTGATGAGAATATAAGTTCGACAAACTCATTTCCATTGAGGTAGACATTTGAATAACCAATGTAGATATGTAGTATGAAACGTCTACATTTGTACAAAGCATTTGAATGTTTGTTTCTCATTATGTAATTACATCAGTCAAACGAATGTATTCTTCACGTCCATCATCGCTATTAAACTTATTAATCAGAATAATGTTAAATGCGTTCTATCTCAACGATTGGTTTGTGATGAAATTCACCACAAAATATCAGTTTTTAACAATTGTGAGAATCAACGGCATTTACATTGTAACCACATTTGAACAAGCTTTTTTCTGTGAATGATTTAGCTGCTGATGAAAGTGACACAAACACAGGAATAAACGACCTCCGTAAGTATTATTCTATTCGATGAATGACATCATTGATAATTTTGCAAATGTGACAAGTTTTCTCACTGTAATTTCCAGTTCGCTACAACTATCTTCAATGTAGTGTCGACCAACTCTGATCAACCTGAGTAGGATTTTATGTTCTTTCTATTCATTCTGTATTGAAAGTTGAGCGAATGTAAGGCGTGTATGAAGATTTCATAATTACTCATTTCCTGATTTCTTCCAAATAATTCTAATAGAAACGAATATATGATAATAGGTAGATGTGATAATATCTGCTGAAGCATATTCGTACAAATTGAATAAACATAATTTGATGCTCATGTCATGAACAACGAAATTTTACTGTTGGAATATATTCTGAGTACAACTACATATCGAACGATATGATGTCTAAGTCCACTCAATCAACTGAAACGAAATTCTACAAGATATGCAGAAGTCTTCCGGCTGTGACTGATCTAGTACATTTTACCAATGATCTTTTCAGATGATGAATACGATGAAGCAAACAGAGAAAGTAACGAAATCAGTAGGCTGAATTCAGTGTGTTGGTTTGTGAAGATGAATAAATTCTGATTCTTGGAAATACTGATTTGTTCACACAGGAAGTTTTCGGTTACCCACTTTGAAAATGAACTTGGGTTGGTCAATACATCTGCGACCATTTATTGTCGTGCGTGAAACGCAATCGTGCGTTAAGTGTGATTGCATGCTAATCTCTAACCCGTTGTTATTAATTTGAGGAAATGAACGTTGTAGCCACAGAATCGGATTAACTATATAATTTATGTTGACTCTGACGATGGTCATTTAATGAAACTAGTCAATTCCATAAAAACCAGATATGCATTAGCTTTGGTATAGAAACATTGCGCATTTCGTTATTTACCGAATAAGTTATTCGGCATGATAAAAAATGGATTGCAATGTCCATTAATTGAATGACTATTACTGATGTACCGTTTTTGTATATCCTGACAATGATTCAGATGATACATAAGGAAACAACGGCGGTTTGTTGATAAAACCTCTTTTTTAATTTGCTTTGGCACAAATTCGTACGTTGCTAGTCATGTAGAGGCAAATGGTACGCATTACAAGCTTCGAATGCGAATAGAGAATTTCTCGACAAGTCAATGTATACCACTAAATTGACAGCACACGTTGTTACTTCCATGGAATTTATGCATCTTAACATGATAAACTTACGAAAACGACATCCAGTGAAAATAAACACGCAGTGAGTGTCTTTATTCTGACTTTTGTAGATGATCCAGGTGATATATCGGACATCTCTTCCGGTAAGCGAATGTTGACCGAATGCCTTGATCATATGGTTTCTACTTTCTTCTAATAACTGATTTCATAATGACTTGTGTATCACTTGTAATTGCACAACTGTGGTTGTGATGGAAAAAATGCTGCATCCATATATGTTTAAGGAATTCATTTTGAATACCGATTTAAATGCACTGCCAAATCCTCACTGATTATTATGGATTACAGCACACTGGTTATGACAGCTTATCACAAACGTGTACAATCGAAAAATACCAAGTTGATGTGCAGAATCAAATAATGTCGCTACTTAAGTCGTAAACGATTCTTTACAATTAAATTAAATTGACATGGAATGTTATTCTATTTTCCAGTTATTGCGAATGCTCGAGGATTTCAACTCAGACAATGATGGTAATCTCTTATGATTTTGTTATTTTCATGTATGAACACGCTTGCCTTAACGATCATTAATAATAACGATCAATATATATTAAAATTATGAGTGCCAAACAATAGACGAGATCCTAGAATAATATCATTGGTGTGAAATTTTGCTTTCAACGATGTAGAATTTTCAGTATTTTATTATGAAGGCTTGTGATTCTTGATCAACTGAACACAGTATACTCATTCGTTCTGTCTGATAGATGCATAAATGCGATCCACGTTAAGTGTGTTTCATTTTAACAATTGCTTTCTGTTGGAAGTCATCACAGTAAATAGATGTGAGGCAAACATGCATTTTATTAATACGTACATTATGAAAACACTAAGCAGTGTTCGTCTTTAATCGACAAAGATGTGATATGGAACACTTGTCGGTATGAGAATGAAAATTGTTGAATGTTTTATATGCTCGATAAGCGACACAAAATTCGTAAGTTCACAAGTTCATTGCATCGATTCGCGTTAATTCCTTAAAGCAATTTCATTTTTGACGTGGACTACTCGAAAATCCATATTTTTCTCAACGACTGGCTCTCGTTCTTCGACAGTTTGGTTATGATAACGCCAGGCTACTTGAATGACCGTCATAAGCTTGGTCGATCCATGTATTAATAAATCTTGTCACGTGTGAACAATTGTCTACATAGTCAATTCAGACCGTTGCATTTAAATGTTTGAGCAATTTCATATAACCTTCTGGATTGTTGTTCACTTCTGTTTTCTTGATTTGACGATGTGAATTGTTGTCTTATGCCATTAATACTTGCACTTTTCCTACCCGTTAGCTAAGTAAATCAATCTCTTCACATTCAGTCTCTGATTCCTTATTCATCATAATCTTGTGTTGATTTGTTTTGTATATTTCAACAAACGTTTGTTGATTTCATATTGATCTGTTTAGACGATAAATCAGTTTCACTCACGTTATTCATACTACAGTCAGCTTAGTTAAATCAAGTGTGTGATAAGGATCATCATGTGAACTGTTCAAAACCATCGTTGGGACTTGTCATCTGGACCTAACTGCATCTTGTAGTTGATGTTCACTCCGAGAGTGACTTCAAAGGCGATTGCGTGATCCACTAACCTACCGAGTCTAGGTAGTCACTAGCCTGTTTATTGGAGCGAGGTTTTAATTCATTTCGTATTGTCCGTTTGAAATTTATCATTGGAGTTTAGGCTTGCAATTGACCAGTCTCTTAGTGGCACATGTGCATTCTCTGTTCACTACTTTGATACTAGTTTAAGTCACAAGCATTTTAAGGAGGGATGAACGGTGGCCACATTAGTCTCTTTGACCAATCTAAACTTCGTTTAATTTATCTAGGTCATTTATTCTCTGGAGAATTGGTTTACTTTGAGTCACAAAGCGCATGAAAACACAATTTGTTCTGAATGCATTCAAATTATATATATGTACGAACTAGTCATATATTTCCAGTATAAATTACTGCACTGATTTTCTGTGTGGAAAAGCCACCTTTGTTAGTTCATTCTTTGCTGAGTATGACTTCATTCTCAATAGGCATGAATAATTTAAATATAATTAATTCTTACTTTATTGTTTTTCAGATACACTCGCGAATTCCGTTTCTTTTTTGATTAATTAGTTTAGAAGTAAAAACACTGTTGAATAAAAATTGTATCAAAATCGTCAAGTGTTTTGTATTCCAAATACACGTTAACCTTAATTCCAAAATCAACATGATATAATCTTACTTAATTTTTAGCAGTTATTTGAACTTCATACAATGATACGTATGAATAGCTTCATAATGTTAGTCACAGTATCCACACTCTATGTCATAATACACTGGCATTCGGCTTCACAAATTGTTAATTCGCTGTTTTCGCTGCTGAAACCACATCTATCTAGAGATCCGTCATTCGAATTGGAGAATAAGATAAGACCGACATACCAAGTGATAATCCAGGAGGAAGCACAAATATTTAAATGTAGGATGTAGGTTTTAGTAGTTCGAGAAAACCAGAAGGTGGATCAGTTAAAATAAATAGTTTCAAACAATGAACGGCACAAACGAAATAAGCGCGAAAACAGTTGGAGAATTAGTGAAGGTGTAGTAAAAACAAAAACTATAATAAAATACAAATTATAACAATTCAAATGTATTCAAAAAGTTAACAATGTACAACTAAGAGGATCAATAGGAACAAAGTGCAAGTATATACATGGAGGGATTTTCACAAACACACAAAGCATTCAAAATGGATCTTACACTTAGTAGTTTAAATAGTTAAACGAAACGGTTACTGAATGGATCCCTTGTTACAGTTGGAGTTATTTAAAGTACTCTCAGTTCAGATGGATGGAGAAATTGAGTTGGAAAGGCTACCTCATAGGCTGATATAGTGATGCTATACAAGTATTCTTCTGCCTCAATTTCGGTTGACGATCCTCCTGGGAAAGGCTGGATGACAATGATATCTAAAGCTCTAGACCTTCCAAGAGAGATTTTAAGGTTTGATGGTAATCGCACGATTTATTAGAGTTTCATATGCAATTTCGAAGACTGTTTTGGTGAACGTGCTAGAACCGGATTTTGGTTGGGCTATCTAGTTCAGTATTGTGACAGTGAAGCTAAGTCAACTAATGTTAATTGTGACTTGCTCAAAACAGAAGGCTGTCGTAAGGTGAGATAATACTCACACAGAAGAACCATGTATTCGACCTTAATTCTACAAAGACAACGATAGCGTGTTCTTAAAACATCCTTTACACCTGTTAATAGAATCGATGAAAGTGCTATGTGGGATTTTTAAGGCGGGCAGAGAGCCTTTATTTATGAACCTTTGCGAATTTTCGAAAGAGCATTCGGATATTACTTATACCAGATACGGATTACTTGTCAGTGGAGATCCCTCTAATGTCAACCAAACGCATTCGGCTGTTTGTACTAAAAGACACCTCGATTCAGAGTATAAGACAAGAGTTTCGTCCGCTAACAAGAATAGGTCTGATGTTGCTACACTCGTATGTCCAAACACTCCTAGGTTGTTATGTTCATTATGTACTGAAAACAACCCCTTAGACCAAGGTGGAAGTTCTAGAGATAAGGATATTAATGAAAAGATGGAGTTTGCACAAACAAAGTTGTGTATCTTCTGTTTTAAGGCGAATCAAATATCAAGAAACTGTCAAGCACTGAGTTTATGTATCGTCGAAGCATGTGGCTGGAGACTCTACATCTTGTTACAAATGAAAACGGAAAGAGCGGAGAGAAAGTAATATTAATGCCCGGAATAATACCCAACTCTTTACGAAGAGAACTGTTAAGTGTGCACAGAGGCAAGTAGCATTTACTATAATGCCTGTATTGGTAGAAATGGAGAAAATCGGGTAAAGACTTGCGATTTCGTTGGTGAACTAACACGTAGATGGATGAACAATATGGACCAACAACCATATTTCTAGTATGAATTACTGTACTGACCTTCTGGGTAGAAAAGCCACCGTCGTTAGCTCATTCTTCGATTAACATGATTAATTTAAGTATAATTAATTCTTACTTCATTATTCTTCAGATACACTCACGGATTTCGTTTCTTTTTTTTGATCAAATAGTTTAGATGTAAAAGCACTGTTGAATAAAAATTGTATCAAAATCGTCAAGTGTTTTGTATTCCAAATACACGTTAACCTTAATTCCAAAATCAACATGATATAATCTTACTTAATTTTTAGCAGTTATTTGAACTTCATACAATGATACGTATGAATAGCTTCATAATGTTAGTCACAGTATCCACACTCTATGTCATAATACACTGGCATTCGGCTTCACAAATTGTTAATTCGCTGTTTTCGCTGCTGAAACCACATCTATCTAGAGATCCGTCATTCGAATTGGAGAATAAGATAAGACCGACATACCAAGTGATAATCCAGGAGGAAGCACAAATATTTAAATGTAGGATGTAGGTTTTAGTAGTTCGAGAAAACCAGAAGGTGGATCAGTTAAAATAAATAGTTTCAAACAATGAACGGCACAAACGAAATAAGCGCGAAAACAGTTGGAGAATTAGTGAAGGTGTAGTAAAAACAAAAACTATAATAAAATACAAATTATAACAATTCAAATGTATTCAAAAAGTTAACAATGTACAACTAAGAGGATCAATAGGAACAAAGTGCAAGTATATACATGGAGGGATTTTCACAAACACACAAAGCATTCAAAATGGATCTTACACTTAGTAGTTTAAATAGTTAAACGAAACGGTTACTGAATGGATCCCTTGTTACAGTTGGAGTTATTTAAAGTACTCTCAGTTCAGATGGATGGAGAAATTGAGTTGGAAAGGCTACCTCATAGGCTGATATAGTGATGCTATACAAGTATTCTTCTGCCTCAATTTCGGTTGACGATCCTCCTGGGAAAGGCTGGATGACAATGATATCTAAAGCTCTAGACCTTCCAAGAGAGATTTTAAGGTTTGATGGTAATCGCACGATTTATTAGAGTTTCATATGCAATTTCGAAGACTGTTTTGGTGAACGTGCTAGAACCGGATTTTGGTTGGGCTATCTAGTTCAGTATTGTGACAGTGAAGCTAAGTCAACTAATGTTAATTGTGACTTGCTCAAAACAGAAGGCTGTCGTAAGGTGAGATAATACTCACACAGAAGAACCATGTATTCGACCTTAATTCTACAAAGACAACGATAGCGTGTTCTTAAAACATCCTTTACACCTGTTAATAGAATCGATGAAAGTGCTATGTGGGATTTTTAAGGCGGGCAGAGAGCCTTTATTTATGAACCTTTGCGAATTTTCGAAAGAGCATTCGGATATTACTTATACCAGATACGGATTACTTGTCAGTGGAGATCCCTCTAATGTCAACCAAACGCATTCGGCTGTTTGTACTAAAAGACACCTCGATTCAGAGTATAAGACAAGAGTTTCGTCCGCTAACAAGAATAGGTCTGATGTTGCTACACTCGTATGTCCAAACACTCCTAGGTTGTTATGTTCATTATGTACTGAAAACAACCCCTTAGACCAAGGTGGAAGTTCTAGAGATAAGGATATTAATGAAAAGATGGAGTTTGCACAAACAAAGTTGTGTATCTTCTGTTTTAAGGCGAATCAAATATCAAGAAACTGTCAAGCACTGAGTTTATGTATCGTCGAAGCATGTGGCTGGAGACTCTACATCTTGTTACAAATGAAAACGGAAAGAGCGGAGAGAAAGTAATATTAATGCCCGGAATAATACCCAACTCTTTACGAAGAGAACTGTTAAGTGTGCACAGAGGCAAGTAGCATTTACTATAATGCCTGTATTGGTAGAAATGGAGAAAATCGGGTAAAGACTTGCGATTTCGTTGGTGAACTAACACGTAGATGGATGAACAATATGGACCAACAACCATATTTCTAGTATGAATTACTGTACTGACCTTCTGGGTAGAAAAGCCACCGTCGTTAGCTCATTCTTCGATTAACATGATTAATTTAAGTATAATTAATTCTTACTTCATTATTCTTCAGATACACTCACGGATTTCGTTTCTTTTTTTTGATCAAATAGTTTAGATGTAAAAGCACTGTTGAATAAAAGTTTTTATCAAAATCGTCAAGAATTTTGTATTCCAAATACACGTTAACTTTAATTCCAAAATCAACATGAAATAATCTTACTTAATTTTTAGCAAATATTTGAACTTCATACAATGATACGTATGAATAGCTGCATAATGTTAGTCACGGTATCCACACTCTATGTCATAATACACTGGCATTCGGTTTCACAAATTGTCAATTCGCTGTTTTCGCTGCTGAAACCACATCTATCTAGAGATCCGTCATTCGAATTGGAGAATAAGATAAGACCGACATACCAAGTGATAATCCAGGAGGAAGCACAAATATTTAAATGTAGGGTGTAGATTTTAGTAGTTTGAGAAAACAAGAAGGTGGATCAGTTAAAATAAATAGTTTCAAACAATAAACCGCACCAAACGAAATTAGCTTTCTGTTGTGGATGCGCAGGAATAGGCCAATAATTATCATGTTAAGTCCAATGGTGTCCTTGGACTTTAAATGGACATTTTCTATTGGTCGATATCTGTTCACTTGTGAATATTGTACAAAATGTTGTTTTCTATTTTTATGGTACGATGTGGTTTGTTTGCTTGGTATATAAATAGAGTATGTTTGAAATACAATGATTCATATCTCAGAGGTTGTGACTTGTCTTCTGGACTCAACTAACTGGGCTAGACAGGGAAGCAGAACCAATCAGAACCCTAGGTCGTCCTACGTGTTTATGCGTCTTTGGTCCGAACAACAATTCTCTCCCCCTTAATCTGCAGCATTATTTTTCACAGTCATAACAATTGGCGATGGGGATGGAGAAAAATTTTGAACCTTGTAATTGGACGCGATTCAGGCTAATTGTTTCGACCAATCAGCATCCAGATTGTCACCAGCGTCCTTGAGCAACATTGGTCATTATTCCTACAGTTAATCTTCATTGCTGGTGCTGAAAAAAAATGACTACCTGTTCCGATCAATTACAGCTTCTACTTGAGCAACAACAGCAGTGCTTCAAAAATAGCCAGTTGAATT